CAGAAGTCTCTGGTTTTTGAGTGATGAACTCTTCTATTACTTTTCTGCAGTCTTCAGTGGAGTAAAATTATTTTTTCAATTAATTGAGTTTTTTTAGATCCAGGAATAAGGGAAAATCTGCAAGGGTAGTATCAAAGGTTACGTTGGATGTGGTAACACATTGCAGTCTCTAACAATTTCCGTTGCGCCTGCAGTGACATGTGGGAGTGAGGCTGTCATGGTGGACCAGCCAGCCAATACCGGTTATTTTTAGTCGATTTCTATGATCGCTCCAACTTTATGCAGTATACTAGACTACTCATAATAAAACACATCCTTCAAATTATCAAATTCATAAAATCACCTACTTGAGGTGAAATCCTGTTTGGAGTTCTAAGCAGTGGGTCGCTGCATTTTCCCGTAGGGTTATACTTTGTACATGGTTGTAAAGGAACCGCTTTTCATCCCCAGTTATCAATCCTTTCAAAAATGGGTTGTTACTTGGCGTTTTAAGAAGGATTTGCAGATGCGATCCAAAAAATTCTTCTCAATCAACAGAAGGACCTACATATATACCGACAAACATATCCTGCAGCTCTCAGATGCTTTTAATTGTTTGCTCAGATATTTTAATTATTTCTGAAATGTCTCATGCCGTTGAGTGTGAGTTATTTGAGCCAAAAGCTAGAATTTTGACATCTGGATTAAAATACAACCAGGGAGATTTACATCTTCCGAATCCCAATTTCTGAAACCAAAAAAAAAAACCACTTACATACAGTGCTTTCTCTTAAAGATTCATTACCATACATCACAGATTTTCCGGGTATAAGTTTCACATTGAGACAATAAAAACCATCAAATGTCAAAAATTCACTATTTTCTCCTCTACTTTAAATGATCAAAATACCTTGTAAAAATACAAGATTTTGAACGAAGCTGACAGATAATACACACCTGAAATAATCCTTTTTCAAGGTGTGTCAACAGTAATGATTAAATAAACATTGCTTTAAAACACAAAAGGGTTAAAACCGAATTATTATTCAAAGCCGCGTCGGACAGGAACACAGAGGATAACTAACTCGTGAGTGCAGCGGAATTGGGATCAAACCGCTTGACTATACTTTTTTTAAATATTATTTTCGATTTAAATTTGAGAGCTATACCAAATTATACATCAAGAAAAGGCGGACCCAAAAAAATTGTAGTTTCTGGTTTTAAATCGGAGCATATATATTGGGATTTTTAAGGAGAATTTCGTGCCAAAAATATGCCGCTCCGTAAGGTGCATGTTCGCTCTTCCAGCAATAAGCAGAGCTTCACTGCTGAGGTCATTGCAATCAATAAAATCCTTAACTTAATGTTATATAAACTAATCATATTCTTCGGCTGTACTGTTACTTGTTATCCTACCAGCCGAGTCATAGCCCACTAATGTGGAACTACGGCGACAATGGGTGGTACAGTGTGGACAAGAAGGGTGGCGTTTGAAAAGGCGAACCTCGCGTCCTCGTTCACTTCCCTTTTCTCAATCCAGGTTCCTTCTCTCTTCCTTGTGACCTCTCCCAACACTTCGTTACAAGTTGGGTGTCCAGGCACAAAATAATGGTGTAGCCTAGAGGGCGTGGCAACCCCTCTAAAGCACAAGCTGGACTCGTGTCGGCATCCGGGTCGGTAGGGGACGGCGGATGCTTTATCAGAGGCACACGAGGGTTGGGTACCAGATCCTGTCTGCATAGACGGGGGAGGGTGCATAACCATCTGAACTACGGGGTAGCAGAAATGTTTCAAAGTCCAGCCCCTGCTACAATGGGGATGGATTCGTAGTGACTAGGTGAGGCTCCTGGCGAGAACTTGGAGAAGAGGCTGTCTTCTATCTGTGACCTTCGCCCGAACACTTGCGTATGACCTTCATTATAAACTCGGCCTCACGGGATACGAAGGATCGGACCATCGAAGAGCGTTGAGGACGCTCAGACTAAGCTGACGGAGAAGTGACGGCTGGAAATGGATAGTGGTCGGTGGTGCCTACTCGAATGTATGTAATGTACACGAATGGCATCCTTTACTGAAGGCAGTCTCCTCTGGTGGGTGGTTAGCAATTCCACTTTAAACAAAACCGCGGCCGAAGCGGATCCGGAAGTTCTCACGCTGGAAGAGCCCCAATACTCTGGGAGTGGCCTTCTCTATCTAGGGAGTGCGTGGGAGATCAGTCTGATGCATTTCAGCCACTTACGCGCGACATACGGTTCGATGCTGAATGCGAACCCGACCACTCAGAATGGGCAAGCGGGGAGTGAGGTTTGTCTTGGCCCCTCGGGGCTGGGGCGGCTTCTACACCAACGCTAGCGGCTGTAACACACCCGGTCGCGAGGGGAGATGCGTCATCTCTCATCTTGAGAATCAAAACGTCCGGTATGGCCATTATGAGCTAGGTACGGACGTTAAAAAGATTATAATGTCCTTTTTAGGACGACCGAGTATATACGGGAACCTTATGTACTGTTACTTGTACAAAACCATTTTCTCTTAACCCCAGGAAATCATTCTATCCCTAGGGGACCTACGAGCAAAGAATGTCTCGTTCCTACCCATACTGGGACATAGTAACATTTGGGATAATAATGCCTAGTGGCATTTGGATTCATAGAGATCTTGAAGAAGAGATCTTATGGTAGAAGATCTTACGACAAAAATCTGGGAAAATAGGAAAACGAAGTAAAATATCCTCTCCTCTCAAACATCCCGTGAAGACGAAACGTTATTCTCACCTAAGAATAGGACATTGTAGGCAGGGAACCTCTTCCGATGTGCGAAAGCTGTAAAGAATCAGTTAAGTGTATCTGGATTGTTTTCCACTTGCGAGAATGACTCATGTGGTATATCTGGTAGTCTTGGTGAAATCTTGCCTGATATTAGAACAGAACCTTTTTAATATCCTATAGCTAACTTATTTCTTATTTAAAATCTAGAAAACTTAGGTTTCGTAGGTAGAATTCATGTGAGGTGGGTGCTGCGCGCCTGGTGATGTCAAGGATCATTAATTTATTATTCGCCAATAAAAAAAATTTTACTCCTTGCAGTTGATACGTTATACCTTTTTAATTATAAATAAATGTACTTATTTCATTAAAATTGTGACAGATTATGAAGCTTTTTTGTTAAAATGTAATTTCTTTCGTTAGAGACTCGGACCGGATGGATTTATTACGCCAACAAATTACACTAAGTGACTGTTGGGGCAACTAATTTAGATTTCTTTCTCTCTACACGTGTACCGCGTTGTCTGTTTATTTTTTATTTTTCTTCTTGCCTGCGTTTACAAATTGGCTGATAAAAATTAAACTTTTTGGCGGTTTACAAAGTCATCTGAGATTGATGCTGACTCGGTGCGTCGACGATAATGATATATTGATGATACGGGCCTATTTTATTGGCCGTAAAAACAAAAGGTCTTCCGGCCGCGTGAACCGGCGGTTTTATTTTCAAAAGAAACATTCGATAGTAGTCTATTCAACCCGAGTCTTTCGGAAAAAAGTCCTCCCGTTCAAAAAGAAAATAGATGTCACAGTCCTCCGTACAAAAGCATTGCTCTGAAAATTAACCTATTCTCAAGACAGCTTAACTATTTTTGACTTGAATCATTGTTCCTCGCTTAAACTTACATATATTTATTTTTAAGATATTGTGAAGTTCAAAGAAGAAATACCAGATTGCACATTACTTCTGCATATTCTCTTACGTTTTATTGTATTCATTTATTTCTACTATCAAGTTAAACAAATAGTAAGTATAAAAATCATATTTAAAGGAAAAAATTAACAATTCCAGTCAGTCCACTTCTTCAGAGAGAGGTGCACCAACGAATAATCATATATCAGGCCAATACAAGCTGGAGTACCTCAAGGGAGCATTCTTGGTCTTTTGATTTTCCCACACATACCAATACCATGATTACCACTTATGAAGATGAAACTGTAATTCTGTTTTCTAACCCGAACCCCAAGCAACTCCATTATCCGTCAACACATCGAGTTTATCAAAGAATAGTTCAAAAAGTTGGATACATGACTGAATGAGGAAAAATGTACACGGTTTAAACAATGATAAAACAGTTTTGCCCTCCACTGAGCAACCGATTTCCAGTCAATTCAGATATGTTGGACTATTTCTAGACAACAGACTGATGTAGAATCCCCACATGAGACTTAAGAAACAACAACTTAACAAAATACTTGGACAACTAAGAAGAATTTTCAGACCAATATCTGTTTTGAGTGTCCAAACTCAGGTCTAGAAGCCAATTTGGAGATACTTAGTGGAACTGCACAGTTCCACTAAACCATTACTTCCATTCAAAAGTCCTCGGATAAATTTTCAAACATAACAATGAGCTCAACATTTGTTTTGTCAATAAAACTGATCTGACCCGTTTCCAAAAGTACATACATACAATACATCCTACTTCTACTGCCCTAGCCTTATCTATGCTTTTCCTAGATCATGATGAGACCTAATTGCTTTCTTAATCTCTCACATTGTGTCAACATTGGCTGGTTTCACCTAACTTCTCTGGTCTCTGTTCTCTGGGTGCCATTCTTGCCATAGTGTCATGGCTGTGACCAGGAAAAAACAAATATTTGTATCATCAATTTATCTATATTTATATTTACAGCCTACAAATACATTATTTATTTTTAAAAAATAAAAAATCAATTATAACTTTGATTAAAAAGAACACACTTGCCCTTAATTAGTCAATTTCATAATTTGATTGCTCTACCTAAAAATTATGATTGAGTCTAATTAAGTTATCATCCATCTGAGAAAATTTTAATTTGTTCTTGGGGTTAGTCCAATTGCAATTATTAACAGTTACTCTGAAAAGATTACATTAATTAGATAAATGGGGTATTTTAATTAAAAGATTGTCATTTGTAATGAAAAGAACAATAATTAAATGTGTCTCAATTTGTAATTGTTATTAATAATTAAATTTGTTGTATTTTTATTATCAGCTACTCTCAGCCACTGCTCAATTTTGCAGCAGTAACCACAATCTCGATTATGATTGTTGGCCTTCTGGGCAACCTCCTTACAATAGTTGCACTTCTGAGATGCCCCCGAGTCAGGAACGTAGCTGCAGCATTTATCATAAGGTTATTTTTGATTTTTAATTTACATTTTATTAAAATTTTGTGTGATTTGTGCTAATTGACTTTATGTTTGTAGTTTATGCGTGGCGGATTTCTTATTCTGCGCTGTTGTACTTCCCTTTGCAGCGTCAAGGTTCATAACTGATAGTTGGGTTCATGGAGATTTCCTGTGCAGCCTGGTACCACTGGTGCGATATGGAAATGTCGGTGTTTCACTTCTGTGCATAGCGATGATCACAATAAATAGGTGTGTAAGCTGGTCATTGCTTAATATAATGTAAAAATGGATAAATACAAACCGCATCATTTTTTCAACTTTTTCGTCTATATTATTCATACATTTCATAAGTTTTATATGGGAGATATTTATTAAATTACAACAGATAAAATGTGTTTTGCATACATTTTGGATTTTATTTACAGATATATAATGATTGCACATTACGGTTGGTACCCAAAGATTTACAAGCCTATGTGGATAGCTTGTATGATCATTTTCTGTTGGGCATTAAGCTTCGGTATGCAGGTGCCAACCTTGCTCGGCATCTGGGGTGAATATAAATATTTAGTTAAATAATTCATTTAATTAAAAACTAATTTTAAACAATTTTAGGTAAATACTCATACGATCACAACATAAGGACATGCTCAATTACAAAAGACATTTGGGGACGATCATCAAAAACTGCTCTTTTCCTTATAGGATTTGTCATTCCTTGTCTTATAATCGTCTGCTGTTACGCCAGAATCTTTTGGGTCGTGCACAGGTATTAATATTTTACATAAAATAAAAAGACAGTCTCTAATAATAAACATTGCAGTTCTGAGAGCAGGATGAGGAAACATGCTGCAGAAAGCAATGGAAAAGAACACAAAGAATCAAAAACAAAAAGAAACGAATGGAGAATAACAAAAATGGTTTTGGCGATATTTTTATCATTCCTTATGTGCTATCTTCCCATCACTATAATAAAAGTTTATGACCATAGTGTCCAATATCCAGGTAATTGTTTGAAAGATCAATCCAATAAATCAAAATAATCTAACTATTTTTTTCCAGCACTGCATGTCGTGTCTTATCTCCTTCTCTACCTTTCGGCCTGCATAAATCCGATTATATATGTCATTATGAACCACCAGTATAGACAAGCGTACAAGACAATCCTGTTGTGCAAGCGGCCGAGGCTTCTATCTGTCACTCCAGGTGGCTCGAGCTATGGAGGTCAGTTACAGAACAACGCTGTATGACATGTGAGTCGCATGATCGCAATGCATTGTCCATCATTAGAATTCGAGGCAAGGCTAAGGATTTATCATAGTGAATTACTTTGTACATTGCTTCCTACTAAACATAACTATAACGAACATGCAACAATCTGGTCAGTTTAATTTTTGATGAATAATTAAAGCTTTTCCATTTTCACTTTTATTGGCAGATAAATTAATTATAATATATGTACATATATGTACATATATGGAAAATCATCATAATTTTCCAAAATTATTTTAAACAATTCAAGCGCAATTGTCAAACAAAACAATGATTCATCAAAAATTAACCAGATCTGTAAACATTTGAAATTATTTAAAACTTCGTCATAACATTGAACCATTTTGGGCAAAATTAATATAACTAGTTATTAAAAATTATTATTTAATTAATTATTTAATAATTTATTCTTAAAAAATAAATAATTTAATCATTAAGTAGGTGCTAGGAAGCATTAACACCCACCAAACAACCATACAAGCACATATAATTTCTGAAGGTATAATTTTTTAAATTTAATAAATTGATTTTTGATTAAGAAGTATTAATTAATCAAAAACCAATATTTGAATTATCATTTTGCTCATGCATGTATTGTTTCATTTGTAATGAATGAATATGTAGATGAAAGAAATTTGCACACGATTTCCTTTATGTGACATTTTAAATTGGATAGGTCTTCTCCCTCAAGTAAGGACAATTTAACAATGACATGAACAAGTAAACACATCAAGGCAATAAAGATTTCTTTGCCTTTTTGTTCGATGTATAAAGCGAGATAGCACATTTGCATGGTCAAAAAATAAAAGAATAAATTAAGGATTGTAATGATTTTCAAAGTATTTTCATGCAAAGGTGGATGCGAACAATTACAGCATACATCCTAACAAATTTGGAAGCAAATAGGAAATTTGTAAAACCCATTGAAAATTTGATTTTTGTCTTTGCACATGATACCTAGATTTTGAAAAAAAAATTAAGATAATCAACTCATTCAGATTTTCATTCTCAAACAACTAATTGTTCTGTGAAAATCTCCTATCTAAACCACTAAATTATCAGTACTTGTGAAAGTAGTAGTAGTAGTTTGTTATAATTCATTATGTTTATTTTCATTAATTTTTTTGTCTCATTTGAGAGAGAATGAGAGGAGGGGAGATAGAAAAAAGTGAGAGTGAGAGAGATTGAGAGAGAAAAAGTGTGAGAGAAAGAAGAGGGTGAAAGAGAGATCGAGAGAGAAAAGAGCGGTGGGTGTAAGAGAAAAGAGTAAGAGAGCAAGAAAAAGAAGAAAAAGAGCAATAGAGAAAAGTGGGTGAGAGCAAAAAAGAGGGTGAAAGAAAAAAAAGCAGTGGGAGTGAGAGAAAGAGAGAGAGAGTGAGAGCACATTTGTGTTCTGGTATTTTTCTATCAATTCAAATTCCCCAATGTTATTTTCAACAAATTTATTGGCAGTTCAATTTTCCTGTTTTTTCAATTAACCTGTACACTGGTTTTTACTTTATTTTTTTAATTCACTTGTGTGTATCTTGTTCTCTCAATTTATTGCTTATCAGACAAAATTATTAAATACAAGATGGATCGAAGATTTGATTAAAAAATTATCACCCTGGGTTTAACAAAATAATAATAACAATAATAATATACTTAAAAACAGGGGTTTAGAGTCAAATTATGCAAGTTTAACTAAGATAGATGTAAAAAAATTCAATCATGGCATGAACACATACTTAATATTGCACATTATTAAGTATAAATTATCAAATTGTATGGTATTTATAAGCATAATTCATTTTAATTTACTTGATATGCACATTAGCAATAGTTTTAATTTGGAAAGTTGTTTATATTTAAAAAAAAATAAAATCTTCAATCAAATTTTAGGAAAGTCAAAAGAAGATAGTAAAACCATGGTATCGCAAGTTTCCATAGCGCTAACGCCCGTTCGCTGCCAGGAACTTCCTGACATTTCCGACAGGCAACTTTGATCTCAGGTTTTCAATTGGACTACCGACTTGCGCAGGATATTCATACAAACCATCAACAATTTTTTTATAATCATTTTATTCATAATGCTTTTCGCTCTTTTTGCATGTTGTTAAATTTTAAAAAATTGTTTTAGTCACTTTATTTCTTATTTTTGTTATTGTTGTGAAATTTGAGTACCAATGTCATGATGCCAAAGTAAAGGAAAATGCAATTTTCCTCTAGTCTTTAATGGATGTGTACAAGAAACTCAATTGTTCATATATGTAATAAACAGAAAGCACAAAATTTGTATTCTTGTAAAGTATTATTCATTAGAGATATTATTTTTGTAAATAGTCTAAGTTTATCCATTTGTTTTTAATAAAAATTTAATTGAATGTATTTAAAGAAAAATAAGTGTACTTTTAGATGTATAAATTATTTGTGATATTTAAGATAGTAATAAAACACATGTCCACAAATAATGGAAAACATTTTATTTATTTATCTCCAATGTCTACTAATCAACATGCATTAAGACTTTTGCTGGTCCTATTGCAAAAAAATATGAAACTAGTAAATTATTTATAAAATTAAATATATGTAAATTACATTAAATTTTCAGTTACAAGATAAATATTTAATCTAAGTTTTTGCTTTGATTTCCACCCATCACAGAATTGGTACAATGCTGAGTACACCACTCCAGATGGTGTAGTACATGTCACAAAAACCAGCCTTGACTGACACTCTTGCTGCTGAGGGTTTAATAACCAGAATGAAAACCAGGAAACTCATAATTTATTTTATATTTTTCTCTTGGACCTTTGGAAGAAGTAACCCAGAAAACAATTTTGTCACTCGTACTGAAATCATAAATCTCTACATAGATAAATTGGCCAAGGAAGGCTCGGTGAGGACACCTATTGGCCTCGAACCTTTTTGTGGCATTCCAAATGCCAAATATGTGGATCCATCGGACAGTGTATTAAAAAAAAAAAGTCTTCCGTTTAATGAGAAGTTAGCCCAGGATAGAAAGGACCATTGCAGAAACTAATGGCAGAGTTACTAAAAAACTAGAACATGTTGTGTTTCCACTGTGTGAAAATCACCAGCACAACTGTTTAGTGAAACTGGTCTTGTGTTGTGTGTACCTAGTCAGGACTATGAATCTTTGGGTGCAAGGATGTTTTGGGGTGAGGCAACCTGCTGTCAGTTTTTTCTGCACATCAAAGTTTTTTGTGTTGTTTGTTTCTCTCCATTTAAATTGCACTTGTCTCAAGTATTAGAATGAACTGACTCCTAGCCCTGAGGAAATTTCGGTCAAAAAATGCCATTCATATGCATTCCCGGTCATTGTAACATTCGTGGCAACTTCTTGCTGATGCGGCACCCAAATCGGTGGTCACAGAAGGGATCTGGATAAATCGAGTCTCTGGGGAAGACTTTTTCACCCATATCAAGAGAAACCCATTTTGGAAAAAAGTGGCACAACGAATGGTGTGTAATGACCTTTAACAAACTGAGAGAAATTAAGGAAGATGTAAAATGGTCTACACCTCACTCAATCCTCCCATAAGGAAGAAACTGTCCTAGCTTGCTTAAGAATAGATCATTGAAGAATCACGGTTTACTCATGGCGTGAGAACCTCCACCGATCTGCCAAGGTAGTCAGAAACCACTAACAGTCAAACATACTGTTACTTTCTGTTCTTCATTTGATCCGGAAAGGAGCGTATGTGCTATTTCTGGTAGTTTGGGACAGAATTTGTCAGTACAGAGTAGAAAAAACATTTCAATTTCATGAGGAAGGCTGGTCTGCTTTCTAAAATTTAGAAGACAAGGCATGAATGGGGATGGTGGCTGAGGCTGTCAGCGCCTGCGAGCCTGACGGGGCCTCCTTGTTTGTGACATTGTGGCATTTCTGTTTAAAAAAATTATAAATTTAATTTGTAAGATAAATCATTGTAGGTCAGACAGTAATATTACAATAAAATTGCTCAGCATAAGCCTTATATTGTTTGTCTCCATTGTTCCATGCAATTAGACAGTTTTATAATATTCATAATTGTACAATTTGGCATAAATTTAAACAAAGTGACTGATGTTCTAATTAAATAAATGGCATATTAAAAGAAAAATACAAACAAATGAATATGAAACACATGATTCATTCATTCTAATTCATTTTTAGTTATTCACAAAAAAAATCACACAAATTTTTAGTTTGAAAGTTATGAGAACAAAATTAGTGAATATAATTGAACATGGAATCTTTACAAAAACAGTCAGGTGTGATATCCCGGAACAAAATGATGGAAATGATCAGAGCAGGTTTGAAAGATCTGGGAAATGAAGAACAAAAAGTAAGTCCTGCTGATTTGCTTAAATACATTAAGCATAACCACAATTTACCTCTGGCTAGAACTTTGCCTAGATTTGTAGAAGCGTTAGAATTAGCTAAAAAAAGAGGCTTAGTATGGCAGGCAAGTAACAACAAATATATTTTAAGCCCTGAGCCTACCAGCATGTGCAATTCATGTGGTGGTAAGAAAAAGATGAAGAAATCCTCCTGTAGGCCGATGAGAAGCAAACAAACAAAAAAAAGTATTAAAAGAAGGCAGAGTAGAGAGAGAAGAAAGGAATCTCTTTCTCATAGAAGGAAGGCTTTACAGAGCAGAACAAGGTGTAAGTCAAAAAGGGAAAGTCACCGCCACAAATCCCATAAATCCAGCAGGAGAAGTAGGTCGACTGAAAAAAAGAGGATGCATTCAGCAAAAAGATCAAGATCTCAAAGGCACACTAGGTCTCAAAGGGCATCAAAACAAAGACACCAAAGAGGTTCTCGTAGTTCAAGAAGGGAGTGTAGACGCCCAAGATCTTCCAAGAAGTTAAGTAGAAGCAGCAAATCGAAAAGTGCCAAACATCAAACACGTTCCAAGTCAAGGAGGGATCTGTCAAAGGTCAAAATGTGCCCAGAAAATGTAGGCACTGTTGAAACGAGTATGCAAGAAGTGCCTAATGTTTAAAACTGTCACCTGTCTTATCAGTTATGTATTCACTTTCGTTATGCAATACGTAATAAATTACAATGTACTGATTAAATGACACAAGGTTAAGTGATAAAAGAAGTTTGTAAAACATAAGCTTGTAGTTCACTTTCGTTATGCAATAAATGTTGTGTTATGTAAAAATGTACTAACATTGGCATTTTTTTATTCAAAAAGCATGTAAAACAGTTTAATGCTTCAAGCCCAGGGTCAACTCATTTAATAATAACAAAAAGTAAATTAAAGGTGTCTCAACTTCCACTTTCTGTCTAAATCATTAATTAATCCCTTCTCATACTAGAAAAAAGCAGGCCTTCTAGATTAATCTAAATTTATAACATTTCATTTCAATTTTTTTCATGTGATTTCACAATTCCAATTTTTTTCAGTGGCTTTTTCTCAATTGTATTTTTCACTCAAAAATCGCTAGTATGTTTTTCTTGTTTTTTTGCTTGGTCTGAATTTTGAATATTTTAAAAGAACTATCAATCAATAAGATGTCAAAATAACCCTTTTGTGAAGTTCCGTGTCTTCTCCAGTTGACCCTGGGTATTAGAGTGATAATTTTATATTGTTTTATTATCCATCACTTCTTACCAAAATCTGATCTCTTAGATCATAAACAATGTTGTGTGGATACTAATTCATCCTAACATCTTATCTGTTGTCTGAATGTCTCAATTATACCCAAAAACTGCTGAGAATCTTTGGAAGATTTTTAGTAAATCAATTTTTGCCTAAAAGTACTCCATTTGCTTCAAGGTCAAACTACTTTTTAAGATGTAACATCACTACTGTTCATACTGTGGGTCTGAGGTGGCTGAGTGGTTAGGTTATAGAATGGTATGGCATGGTAATAAGGATACTAGGAAGTGGCATTTGTGCTCCCCAGGCTGTGCAGCCTTCTGGCTTATTGTACCTTCCTAGTTGCTTAGTTAAGTGCAATAGACTCTATCCTTCTTAGAAGTATCAGGTCATTGACTGTCACTGCTATAATCTGATTCCCTAAGTTCTTTCCTATGTTAGGTTAAATCTCTATTGAGCTGTTACATCGCATTTGAAGTAGATATGGATGGCTGTTTCCTCCTTCTCATTACCATCAATCATAACCTCATTTTGTTTCTATTATTTATTAATGATATCCATCTTGCTCTCCCTTCTGCTCAGTTTTTATTATTTGCTGATGATCTGAAAATCTATTCCATAAGCACTTCTCCTTCTGATTGCTTACAATTACAAAAATCTATCAGTAATGTGCTAACCTGGTGCTCTAATAACAAACTTGCTCTTAATGTTTCCAAATACTACATTCTCTCATAAGAAACAACCTTTTATTTATCTCTATACTCTCCATGATGCTCTTTTAACGCGAGTTGAGGTCGTAAAGGATCTTGATGTACTTTTTGATCAAAAGCTCAAGTTTAAAGAACATATTTCTTCAATAAAAAATAGATCTATGAAGATGCTAGGTTTCATCATCCGGAACACCTATGAATTTAAAAATCTATATTTTGTCCATCTTTATAAAGCTTTTGTACAACCCATACTAGAATATGCTACACCTGTTTGGAACCCCTTCTATCTAAATTATCAAAACATTCTTCAATCTGTACAAAACAAATTTTTAAAAAAACCTTCCTACAAACTCAATCTTCCTCTGAATTCTGCCTACCCTGGAATCTGCTCTGAATTTAAACTTTTCGAACTGGCACTAAGAAGGGATTACTTTGATATTGTTTTTGTATTTAAATTATTAAACAATCTCATTGATAGTCCTTCTCTAATCTCTCAACTACAGCTACATGTCCCTTCGCACTCTCTTAAAACCTATAAATTATTTTATATTGAATTCCAAAGCTCTAACTACATGCTCTCTTCTCCTCTACACAGAATGATGATCAAGAGTAACAACATCTGCAATAGCATTGACTTCTTCATTAGTTCTGTGCAATCTGTGAAAAACCTTATCCTACAACTTTAGTTGAATGCTTTTATATTTCATACTGTACAAAATTATTACAATTTATTTCATTCACTGGTTCAACTAATTCTCGCACTCTAGTCTTATTATATATTTACAAAGAGCATTATTTTCATTAAATATGTACCTAATTATTGTAGTTTCAATTGTCTTTCAGCTTTATTTTGTTTCCTCTGCCTTATTTGGTTAGTAATTATGTCTTTCATTTTTGTTGTTCAGTTTTTACTTTTTAATTGTATTTTTATATTTATCATTTATATTATTACCATGTATATACGTCCTTATTCTTTTTATATATATTATTTGTATTTTTACATATATTATTTATATTTTTTGTTATTATAAAATGTCTTTTTTTATAGTGGATTTCGATCCGTAAATAAATAAATAATTAATTACATAATCTGGGATCTTCGTTGTATATGCCCATGTTATACAGATGTTTTCTCAGATGCCAGTGACTGGTTAATAGTCCTGCCACTCCTCTGTGTTTAGCCCTCTTCAATCGCAGCAGTTATTTTTGGTGAAGGTTGTTTCATCACAAGTTTACTGCGTCTAGCATTGCTCCATTCTGTGATGGAGGATTCTATATTTGTTTCTGTTATCCCAAGTATAGGTTCAGGGCCTATGTATGGTCTTGCAGATCCTCCTCTTGCCAGACTGTCTCATTACACAAAATTTCCCTGTGCCCTGGAGCCTAAGATATCAGGTTGTTGTGTTTCCCAGGTTTTGAAGATTTTGGATGCATTCACCGACTAATTTTGATGTTATTATTTTACATGCTAATGCTTTAATGGCTGCTTGGCTATCAGATCTTATGAGGATTTTTTTGCCAGTGTAACCTCTTTTAAAATTTTCCAGGGCACAAGCATTGATGGCATTTATTTCTGCTTGAAAGACCAAAGTGTACTTCACTAATGAGTTTGATTGATCATGTTTTGGGCTTGTACACAAAATGCCCGATTCGGTTCCTTCATTTGTTTTGGAGCCATCTGTATACCATATCATTATATCTGATGCTGTGTGTTCTTCCTCTCCTTTATAGTCCGTTGAGACTTTGTAGGAAGTTGTAAATAATGTTTTCGGGATCATATAGTCAGTCCCCATTTCTAAGAATGGGTGTCTGATTTTATTGATTATGGTTGTATGCCCGAATTGTTTAGTTTCTATCCAACTTGATTGTTTTCTGGAGCCATAAATGACTTACTAAATACTTAATAGGCTTTTTTTCAAAAACACCGGCACCCCGAGGGTTGATATGACCTCTGCTGTTGCAAAAAAAAAAAAATAAAATAAAAAATAAATGAGCTTTTCCTAGTCTTTCCTTGTATAAATATTTCCAGTGGAGGTAGGTTAAGCAGTTTTTAATTCGGTAACATAGATAAGATGTAACATCACTACTGTTCATAGTGGGGAGTCTGTGGTGGCTGAGTGGTTACGGTATTTGCCACATTAGCATTTCTGTGTTCAGATGTTTTTTATTTTTTATATTGAATGGTATGAAAAATTTATTATTAAGTGGTTTGACCCCTTCATCTGTGATACCCAATGGGGTATTTAACTTTATTGTTCATAGTGAAAAATATTTATTTAGAAATCTTGAGATGCGGTCTGGTGTGATATCTGGTCTATATCATAACATTACATTCCACACATCAAATATTTTTCACATAGTCTAATTGTCCAACAATTTAGCTTTCCTTTTCCTATTTATCCCTTTCTATATAATCCTGAAAGGATAATCTGGCCGAACTATTACCAACGTTTTTTCCTTTCTTCGGCTCTTTTCACCTCAAAGAAGCCGACGCCTTATACAAAAATGACTTTTCTATACCGACTTCCTTCCCCACCTCTTCAAAATCCAACGTATATAAACAAAAAACAGCAAAATCTCACTGGCACTCTCGACACGACACGCAAGAATGGCACAATTACACAGAAGACAAACACTTTGAGTGAGTAGAAATACTTTGATTGAATATATAAAAAATATATTTTGCATTGTATAAATTCGCTTTTTCACATCCTAAATGTATTTGTTAAATGTAAACAATGTTTGTAAATCCCAGGCCCTGAAGATGATCTCAATAAAGATCGAAATGTTGGCACGATAAAGAAAACGTTTTTATGAAACCTACATCTCACGATTTCTAAATAAATGTCGATTAACAGTCACTAAGCACCACACTTAGTGAAAAATGATAAAACAACAATAAAACCCTTTCTTCCAACTACTTTCAGAGGGTTAATATTTTAGCAAAATAACTAGTTTTTCAGAGTCAGGTATGATTAAATGAACACAAATTTCATCATTAAAATAACAGTTTTATTACAGTTCCAGTAAAGAATATAGGGCAAATATGCATAACTTATGGCAAGAAGTACAAAAACTAGTCAACAGTTTTTTTTTAATTCCATAATAATTTTTTTAAAATTCTCATAAAAACTAAAATTTTTAAATGGAATTAAATTTTATACAGTTAGTAAACATTAGAGAATAGAATTGCACTAGTAATTTTGTTTCAAATTTATCTGCTTGAATAATTTTTTTATCTGTACAGATATGTATAAAAAAAATTTGATCACAATTTACAATTTTCCACTTTCTCACAAAAAAAGTATAATTACAGATTTTTTAAAAAATAAATTCTAATATATTTACAAATAAATTACAACCATAGTCAATACAGAATCAACTGCCTAGGCACGAATTTCATCTAAATTTTCAGTCATTTTGTTCCATTTAAATAGTGTCTTTTGCAGTTCGTGAGTATCTTAAAAATGGTTTTTACTGTTTGAGATTTCTTTTATGGAAAATATAAAAAAATCTGATGTTGCAATAAACCATTTTTAAGTTTTAAAAATCTTTCACCAACTCTATTTATATATAAAAATATACACATAATTACAAAATTTATACAAAATATCATTTTTGATGTGATACAATTAATTTAATTAATATATATATGTATAAAAAGAAATCTTTTTTTACATTAATTTCCTGGTAAAATAGTTATATCTGATTACATGCAGTCTTCAGCATAAATAAAAATTTCACTCTGTATTATTGTGCTTATAAATTAATTAATTTTACAAATTACAATCATTCACAGCTTAAACACAACTTTTATACACTATTCTACACAGCATAAGCAAAACAGTTTGTTTTTTTAAATCACAATATATTAAGATCACATTAGTTCTTTATTAAAACTTATGAGAAAATAAATAGACGATAGGAATCAAATAGTTTCTGTCGAAAAGACAAATTGTCAATGCGTTAATACTCATATTTCTGGTTGGAACAATTATACGTAGTTTTCTCCAGATCTTGGGACTCGTGTGCTTCGCCAACTCCCTCGCCTTTTCCCGCAATCTAGATCCAAATCATCTTCTCTGTCACTCCTCCCCTCTGAAGAAGTACAATTATTATTCTGACTTGTCATATAAGTCAGTTCCATTACATTCTGAAATTTTAAAAAATTATTTAAAATTCACAAAAAAATTAATTTCAGCGGCGTCAAAAAAAGAAAACCGAATATTACTCTCCTGCGTGTCCAGAAATGACTTTGATTATATGTTTAACAAGAAAATGCTAATAATACTGACCTTATTTTGCTCAGAGTCGGCGAGTGGATTGTTTGTGATGTTCATGGACCTCGGGAGAAATCCATTCCCGACTCGACCGTTTACTTTTCCATTGTGGACAAAACCGTTGATAGTCACCGGCTCTAATGGCTGTATAGTGATACCTGGATCGACTCCTCCACTCTTATCACAACTCTCTACACCATCTTTCCAGGGGAAAATATGAAACAATAAAGATTAATATGAAGTTTAAAAAAGACCCAAAAACCCAAGTTTGTCCCTCATGTTTACATTATAAGAAATAATTACCATGATCATCGCTGTTGATTGAACGTCTATAGCAAATGCATATAGCGACTGCGAGAGTCAAGAGGAGAGTGAGCCCTGCGATGACAGTGCCCAGCACCAAGTACAATTGCCCATGACTAGTTTTTTCAGTTGAGCTTATACCACTTATGCCGATCACATCTGGCACAGGTGCCTCCGTTGCATTTGCCTCTCCTGTAAATATCATGAAATAAACAGTTAATGAGTGATTTTATGGTTGATTTTTTTCTTGGTTGATCAAAAAATTGATATGAGTTTGTCTTATGCATAAAAATGTTTTATTACCATTTTATTAATAGCAGTGTAAATTAATTCAGAGCCCATGATATTATTGGTACATTAATATTGTCTCATTTAATAATAATTTGTTTTCATTAAGTTCAACAAACATTAATAAGAATAAATCTAAATTTATTTATGATGATTATATGATGATGATATGAAAATAGTTAAAAAATATTGAAGAATGCTACTATAGCAAGATTTGCCACAGCTGCTGTAGTGTACGATGCTATACAGTTCATTGCATTTGTATTCTGGGGGAGACGGCACATTAGTTATTAATTAATCATCAAAAATATTGAACTTTAAAAAATGAGGTTTTTGATTTTGTAAATAAATTGTATAAAGCTTTATTTTTTCCTCTTTAATGAATTCTTTCTATATTGCATCATGGTGTACAATATGAATGGAAAATATCATATAAATTTACAGGAAAGTTGAAGCCAAATATTTATAGTAAAATCGCAATTTGTCTTTAAGAAAATTAATTAAAATTAAATTTTTGTTTAACTAAAGGATGCTAAGGGTAGGAAAAGCTGTTCTCATGTTAACACTTTGAAATCGATCAACTTTTTCATGAATTTCTGCTTATTAAACAAATTTTTTATATTTGTTTATGTAATAAATTATGTATTGATTATTTTTGCTTTTTGTGAGTCATGATTTTATATAAGTAATTTTGTATTTTTTGAGAGTTTTAGTTTACAAGTAACAAGGATGATAATATCAAAATGAAATAACATAAGCCAAGTGTTAGTTTTTCCAAAATTATTAATTATTTATTTATATATAGATTAGCCACAATATATGAGTACAAATGAAGTCGTCATGCACAACAAAAATACAAATGAGGACAGGGCATTTTAATTTATTAAATCATGATTTTTGTGCTACATTCTAACGATCTAATTTAAATACAAAAGGTAAAAAAAATTCTATACAAAAAAATTTTGATTTGGATGTTAACATATTAAAATTAATTTTACACTATGTAGTAAAAAATGTACTGCTTACTCAAGGTTTTGTGTGTCAGTATCGCACTAAAATCTGAAGCAGCCCCTACAGTAAAGCTTTGAAGCTTGATGTCATAAGCTGTGTCCGGGGCGAGATGCGTAATGACAAAGTTCCTCGTATTTTCTCCTTCGACTGTCGCTTTTATGTAATCCCCTGCGCTCGTTGTCGCCCGGTAATAGACGTAAAAACCATCGACAGGAGCCAGAACGGAATTGAGATACTGCATTCAAAAAAACATTCTTATTACCCTTGTATTTTTATTTTTATTTTAGTTTTAAATAGATGTATTTATAAACATACCTCCCAGTGTATTCGGATTTCCGTTGGGCTAATTGCCTCAGTGTGAGTCAGTGTTGGAGGATAAAGAGGAGTCCGATTGCTCGGTGATCCCTTTTGTAAATGAAACTTGGCAGAATTTCGTCCCAGTTTATTGTCATTGTTTGAATAAACTGCAGCTATTCTGAACCTGAAAAATTAAAACGTAAGCATTAAAACATTTACATAGAACATTGAAAATTGTTTTAAATAGTTGGAATATTACTTATAATGGTGGTCTGTTGTGAGATTATCGACCTCGTAGCTTCTTATATGCGGGGGTATGTCTTCGTTGCTAGTCATCCAGCTTGAAGGCCTGTTGTCCAAGTCTTGAAACTGTACTTTGAAAAACTGAATAGGGAGTCCAGCGTTGTTCGGTACGGACCACCTGACCATTACAGATTTATCCGATAATCTTGTTATGTTTGGCCTTGTGGGTGGTATCATCACAGCTAAAAGGACAATACAAAATAAAATAACTTAGTTAATTTAAAAATTGAGAGTTTAACCAATGCAAAAATAAATGGTTCACACAGTTTCAAAATAATTCTACATTATTATGCAAGGTATGGTTGAGTTGAAAATTCTTCATTTTAATTCATTAATTTCACTAATTTCGTGGCCCGCCTGACCAATTAATACATTACAATTAATTAAGGTTTTTAGTTGAGATGAAAAAAAGTCAATGGCACGAGCGGGATTCGAACCCATGATCTTCAGCTAGATACGCCGCTGCTCTACCACTTGAGCTATCATGACCTCGATCCACTCGGACATCAACTACTCATCTCAACCCCACCTTATGAGTTTTCCCTCCTTTCTGCCATTTTCCAAATGTCGTGTAATCGGATTGGATTCTCGACGACAAATGAAATGGCCACGGAGAGAGCTTTAGTAAAGTGTACTTCATTTTAATCAATTAAATTCACTATTTTTCGTGGTCCGCTTGACCAATTTTTTTCATCTCAACTAAAAACCTTAATTAATTGTAATGTATTAATTGGTCAAGCGGACCACGAAATTAATGAAATTAATGAAATTAATGAATTAAAATGAAGTACACTTCACTAAAGCTCTCCGTCGCCATTTCATTTGTCGTCGAGAATCCAACCCGATTACACAACATTTGAAAAATGGCAAAAAGGAGGGAAAATTCAAAAGGTGTGGCTGAGATGGGAAGTTGGTGTCCGAGTGGATCGAGGTCACGATAGCTCAAGTGGTAGAGCAGCGGCGTATCAAGTTGAAGATCGTGGGTTCGAATCCTGCTCATGCCATTGACTTTTTTCATCTCAATTAAAAACCTTAATTAATTGTATTATAAATGAGCCAAACACCTTCTAAAAGTGTCAGAATTTGCCTTAACTGATCCATTTTCAGAGTATGTAAAAAATAATGACTAAATAAACATTATTTCAAAAGATAAAAGGGATAAAATCGAATTACAGTAACCCCTCAACATTTGCGAGTTTATTTGTGAGGAAAAATTTCACATTCGCTCCCCTTGGATTTAATTATTTGCAAACAAAAAAAAGTTCAAGCTTTTGAATAGCTTTTTCAGATGTATTGGGTTGTCCGGAAAATAATGCAGGATTTTAAGTTTTCATTAAAAAAAATCTATATAAAATATTCTGTTTACGTTTACAGGATTACTCATTTGTATGAATGTCAACACTTATTAATCCTCTTCCAAATGATATTGTTTGTTTACCTCTGTAGCATTCCGCTACTTGGAAATAATTGAGTCATCCTTATAATGTCAAAGCGAGAATTTCGTATGATTTTCTTTTACGAGTTTAAACTCGGCCGAAGCGGAGCCCAAACGGCTAGAAACATTAACCAAGTCTGGGGCGAGGGTTGTGTTAATGAGTGCACTGTGCAAAGGTGGTTTAAAAAATTTCGGGAGGGAGATTTCAGCCTTGAAGATGAAGAAGGTCGTGGAAGGCCTTCCTCTCTTAATGATGATGTTCTGCGATCAGTGGTGGAAGAAAACCCCAAAACAACTGTTGGAGAACTTGCAGAGCAACTCAAAGTCAGTAAAACGACCGTCGCTGACCACCTCAAGGCGATTGGAAAAGTGAAAAAACTCGAAAATTGGGTTCCACACTCGTTAAACGATCGCCAAAAAAATCAGCGTTTTGATGTTTGTGCATCACTTCTTTGTCGAAACAAAAATGACCCATTTCTGGCCAGAATTGTTACATGTGACGAAAAGTGGATTCTGGACAGTGGCTCGACAAAGGAGAAGCTCCAATACATTTTCCAAAGCCCCCAACTCATCAAAAAAAGGTAATGGTTACGGTATGGTGGGCTTCATTTGGTTTAATACACTACAGCTTCTTAAATCCTGGCGAAACCATCAATGCTGAATCATACTGTAACCAAATTAATACCATGCATCAGAAATTGGCAGTAATGAAGCCCTCTTTGCTCAATCGGAAAGGGCCCATTTTGTTGCATGACAACGCTCGACCACATGTGTCACGTGTAACGTCACAAAAATTATTGGAGCTTGGCTATGAAACTTTGCCTCACCCACCCTACTCTCCGGACCTCTCGCCTACTGACTACCATTTTTTTAGACATCTGGACCACTACTTACAACACATAATATTCAAAAATCAAACGGAACTGGAAAATGCATTTATTGACTTTATCAATTCTAAAAATTCTGAATTCTACTCAGACGGAATTAATAAGTTACCAACACGTTGGGAGAAATGTATTGAGAGTATGGGAAATTATTTTGATTAAAGAACATTGCTTTAAAGTAACTAGTTTCTTTTTTTTTGTTTAATACCAAAATCCTGCATTATTTTCCGGACAACCCAATATAAACATTCTCAAAAATCCCTCATTTGTTCTGTAAGTCTAATGAAAATTTGTTAAAGAAAAATCAATATAATTATGATTCGATGTTTCGCTGCCTGGTCTCTTATTATTGTTTCCTTCTTTTATTGCATATTGTTCATCTGTTGGCAACTTGGAATATAAATTATATTATGGCATCTTTACCATCTTTAGTGAAATGGGGGAGGCGAAGAAAAAAAATAAATATATAAAATTAAAGTTTTAGATAAATTTGCGAGTCAGTGAAAGTGCAACTGCTGTTGGGAGATTCTTCAACATCAACAAGTCGGCATTGGGGAAAATAATAATAGTTAAATACCTTGAAGAGACAGGAAATGCTTTGAGCATTTGATTGGAGGATATGTCTCAGAAGGGTGTTCCGATTAGTTCTGCACTGATAAGAGCCAAAGTTAAAAAATTATTTGATGAAATTAACATCATGGCTAGAAAAGGTTGGGTCAAAAATTTCAAACAAAGGCATAATTTTCATATGAAATTGTCTGGAGAATTGGCATCTTCTGACCATGAAGCAGAAAAAAAGTTCCCAGAGAACTTAAAAATCGAGCCAAATTAAATTGTATGGATGGAAATTTTGAAAATGTTAATTTATAATAGAAATAAATCACACGTTTTTGTTCCTCTATCTACCATTAGGGAATGGCACCCCCTATTTGCACAGCAATATAGACTCAACATTCGCAGATTCAACAATCACATAGTTTTTCTGGAACGTAATACTCGCAAATGTTAAGGGATTACTGTATTGAAAAATGCTTACACTTATTTTACAACCCAATAGTTTGGTCTAATCAGGCATTGAAACCACAAAAAAAGACCATTTGGATAACACTTACTTTTGTATAGAAGAAAATTTGTATTGACTTTTTTTTCAAATTTATAAAGCTTTTTTTTAGAAAAATAGACTTCTTCAAATAAGTTAAATGTTTTAATTCAGCTTTAAAATTGTTTAAATCAATAGATTATTAATTTACCTTTGTGCTTTTTATCTTTTCTTCTTCCTTTACCTTTTCTATGGTCTTTTTTGTGGTTTCTTCCTGGTGCCACCGATGCAGCAGAACTCCCTTCTGAAGATTCTATGAATGAAACTAATGTGTTTTTATTATTCAGTGGTTAAAAACAAAACAAAAACAAATAACACAAATAGAAATTAATTACCTTCAAATTCTGGATCTTCATTATCGGGAGAGTACTCAGCGCCCACTTGCGTCACCTGTGTAGGTGATACTTGTATCATGGCAGAGCCATATGTCGTACCGACTGGGTTTGAAGCAAAACACTGGTAGATACCAGCGTGCCTCTTTTGAATCTTTTTTATCATAAGCTTTCCACTGATGGGAATTATGTGAGAATCGTTGTTTACCGATTCACCGTTTAGCAGCCAAGTGATGTTCGGCGAAGGTGCTCCGGTGACTTCGCAGACTAATTCAGTATCACTGTCTTCTTCTATCACGGCATTGGCCGGTCCTTTTGTGACAACTGGAGGAACTGAAAAAAATAAAATAATTTTATAGGCGTTGACATTTTTAACAAGATTTGTTGTTTTACCTTGAACTTGTAAGCTGACAAGATGGGCCTGCATAGGGGGCACACCGTTGCTAAGTTCACACACATACTGGCCCTGATCAGAAGGCTGCACGTTTGTTAATGTGAGTGCACCGTAACTTAAATCTATCCTATCATTTGGAAGGACTCCGTTTACCCTCCTCCAAGTTGCCTTGGGTGGTGGTTGTCCGACACCACTGCATTCCAATGTCACATTTTGTTCTAGAAAAAATTAAATGTAGTTTAATAAAATTCTAATATATTTAAGAATATTATAATGCTTACTTGATTGGATGACATATTTAGATTGTGGTGTATAAAGGAACCTCGGTGGTGATGGTTCTTTAGGCTGTTCAACAGTCAGTGTGATTTTTAATGGAGAATCAATAATTAGACCTGTAATATAATTGGTAGCAAAACACGAGTAGACTCCTGAGTCTTTTTCACTAACATTGCTTAACAATAGAGACCCTGTTGTTGGCAAAATAATGGAATTATCTGAAATAAAAACATAAATGAATTTTAAAAAAACTGTTTTGTGCAAATTTTAATGATAAAAAATTTACCTGGCACTAAATTTTTATTGTGTTGATACTGTATGATTGCTGCAGGCTTGCTGACTGGTGGCGGGCAGTTTATTACTACACTGTTCCCTGCAGTTACTGTATACTGCCGATGTGGTTGGTAAAGAAACGGCTGAAGTTGGGCCGTCGTAAGCCTGGCTGGAGTACTTGCCAAAGCTGATGCACCAAACCATGCTACACACTAAAACGTAAAAATGAAACGTTTGAAATAATTCCCTACTTTTCGTGGTCCGCTTGACCAATTAATAGAATTCAATTGATTAAGGTTTTAAGTTGAGATAAAAAAGGCAGTTTCATGAGCGGGATTCGAACCCACGACCTTCGGCTTGATACGCCGTTACTCTACCACTTGACCTATCGTGACTTTGATCCACCCGGGCACTAACTTCCCATCTCAACCCCACCTTCAAATTTTCCCTCCTTTTTGCCATTTTTCAAGTGTCATGTAATCGATTTGATTCTCGGTGACAAATAAAATGGCCACAGTGAAGTATACTTCATTTTAATCCATTAAATTCACTATTTTTCATGGTCCGCTTGACCAATTAATACAATTCAATTAATTAAAGTTTTAAGTTGAGATAAAAATTGAAAAATTATTAGATTTTTTTTTCTTTAGAAAGGAAGTTATATGATAGCTCAAGTGGTAGAGTAGCGGCGTATCAAGCCGAAGGTCGTGGGTTCGAATCCCGCTCGTGACACTGACTTTATTATCTCAACTTAAAACCTTAATTAATTGAATTAGTTTGAAATAATATAATTTTGAGATTTCTCTATGGGATCTAAGAGGTGTTGTTTTAACTTTTCTGATAATTTTGGTCTGCCTTTCTTTGATAGTTTTATATGTAAGACATGTTCCAACATGTCACCATCTTACAGACCAAGCAACAAGCCACAATTTGTCTGGCAGACCAAACCAATAAATATAAGCAGACCTAATTGTTTGGAAATGACCAAAATGAAAGTCAGAGTAGTATAGAATTTTCTCTATTAGCCTACCTGGTAATCGCCCTCTTGCTTTTCATCGTTGAATTTGACAAGGAGCCGACTTGTGGCAGATGGCCTCATAGCTGTAGGGTGTTCGTGCTCAATGGCCACACCGTTATGCCTCCACCGTACAGCCTCTGAAGGTACATTGAGAGAACATTCAAATACGACATCATCTCCAATTGGAGCCACTATCGGCTCTGGAGATCTAATAAATGATAATCCAAGATCTGAAACAAAAATATCAAAAACTTTAATTTAAATACATACAATTTAAACAAAACTTCTTTTGATTCAAACACCCATCCACTTATAAAAAAATTTATCTTGATTATCATAACATTTTAGAATTTTACCAACTGTCCTACTATTGAATACAATTGGACATGAATAATTTTTAAGGTTTGATAATATTCCTTTCCCTTCAGAAATACTGCTTTTACCGTATTTTTCCGCTATGAAAATTATGTTTTTCATCTATTAATGTTTGTGAAAATGAAAATTATTGATAAGTTTTTATTAAGAAAGAGTTGGAAAGTTCTAAATATTATTTTTTGTGTCAACTGAATTGTAAGAACATTACATAAAATTATTCCATCATTACTTAAATATGATCTAAGACTTAGGCTGACATCAGTATAGCAGGCGTTGAAGCATAAGCACAAAAAGAAAACACTAATAACATTCTAGGAAATGTTATGCTGTATGGCCAAACTTTAAATCGAGCCGTGAACCTGCAATAGTTTTAAAATGAGATGGTCTAAAGTTACAATTGCTTATGGTTTAGCCTTAAATGGATCATTATTGACTTGAGTAAGCTAGAAAAATCAGTGTTCGATGATTTAGTTTGATTAATCAAATGATTTCAACAGGTTGAGTACTGAGGAAAAGTTTTACACAATCGTCATTACTAAACCAAACCTTTGAAACTAAACTGTTGGACTAGCATTTATTCAAGGATTTTTATCAGTGTGGACAAAATTTCTATAAATAATGAGCTAAAAAAATAAATTTAACTGAGTAATATTTTGTAAACAAAACATAACAAGCTTGGACTTTAGGAGAAAAAAATGATTATTCTTTAAAAAATTCCATGACAAAACAATGATTTTTATTAAGAAAATAATTTTCAGTTGTATTAATACTGGTTGTATATCAAGCCGAAGATCGAGGGTTCGAATCCCGCTCGTGCCATTGACTTTTTTATCTCAACTGAAAACCTTAATTAATTGTATTAAGGACAAAATTTAAAAAAAATCATTAAACAATGTTCTAAAAATAATATATGTGTGTGAATGTTTTGTAAATTAAGTGTAACAAAACTCTCGACTTTAGGAGAATAAAATGATTTTTCACAATAAAATTCCATTTTGTTGAAATGATAATGGTTGGATACTAATATTAGTATATAATTCTGATATGTGTCAGACAATATTGGCCAGTGAGGACCAAATGGCAAAATAATAATAATAGGGAACAAAATAAATTTAATCTGAATTCTGATATGTTTAGTTAACTAAACGTAAAAAACTGCTGGACGTTAGTAGTACAAAATAATTATTCTTAATAAAATTCCATTCTGTTGAAATGATAATGGTTGGATACTAACTGACATTGGTAGATAATTCTGTTATTTGACCATTAAAGACAAAATTTCAATATTAAAAATTGGCAAAACAAATATTCAACATGATTTGTGATATGCTAAGTAAAATAAGTGTAAAAAAACTGTTGCACAAATGTAAAAAAAAAAAAATAATGGACTAAAAAATAAATTTAATATGAGTTCTGTTATGTTTTGTAAACTTAATGTGAAAAAACTGTTGGCTTTAGCAGAACAAAATAATTTTTTCTAAGAAAATGAAAGAAAAAGAAATGCATTCTGTTGAATTGATAATGGCTGCATACTAACATTGTTAGATAATTCTGTTATTTGGCCAATAGGACCAAATTTCAAAATACAATGGGATAACATGAGTAATTTATTCTAAGATGGAGTGAGTATAATAATTATTTGGATGAAAACAAGGAGTCTACTTAATTTTTTTTTTTTTTTTTGAGTTATCTGTATTTGGAGCTCTCAAATATTCATTATCAGATAATGAAATTGAGAGCTTAAAGGCCAGATAGCTGCAAAAAACAGCTTTAGAGTAGAATAGAACATTTTCATTCAATGAGTTTTGATATGTTTCATAAACTAGTGTAAAAAATTTTTGATCATGAGTAGAAAAAACTTTTTTTTTCTTAAGAAAATATGTTACTGCATCGTTAATAATGGTTGTATACTAATATTGGTCGATTATTTTAATATTTGTTGGGAAATTGGACCAGTAAAGACAAAATTTCATTTAACAATGGGCGCAAACATTTTGATATATTTTGTAAAAACCACGTGTTAATTTAAAAATCTATCAAATATTTTATTTGTTGTATAAATACATATATGTAGGAAAATTGGATAAGTTAGTGGCTATTGAAATTGTACTCGAAATGACTTATGAATTTTATTGATTACAAGCAACAAAAATAAAACTTAAAGACACAATTTGAACAAAATAAAATGATTTCGACACAGCGCACATGATAAACGTCTATCCTTTTTAACGGCCAAATCTCAACTAAACTCGTTCTACCCACCTGCCGCTTGGCGCACCTCAGAAGACCACCTCTGACACAAATTTAAAATTATAATTGTTTAAATATTTAAATGATCAGAGTGGAAATCCTATTTCAGTGGTTAAAACAATGACAGATTGTAAGCTAAAACAGAACAATGCATCCGACCATAGTGTTTACAAGCATTTCCAAAACTCACAAACTCCTTCAATATTTCATTATAATATTATCTTCCTCACATTTTGTGCATATGTTAATCCATTTTGGAAAAAAATTCAAAAGGTATCATTTTAGAAAGCAATCCACATAACCTCTGAAAATTTCATAAAAATCCCTTTAATGATTTTGGAGATTAGTCATTTACAAGGAGTTGACGGCAGACAGACATGAAACCAAATTTGTTTAGAAAGGTCTGAAACGCAAAATGTCATTGGAAATTTAATTTTGGAGGACAAATTTATTTGTGACTTCCTGCATTAATTTATGTACAAGGCTTTGGAGGCAATATTGGTATTTATCAATATCAAAAATACATTATACTTAATTTCATAATAGTCTGACATTTTTGAAAACAATAAATTAGTAGAATTAGTGTTTTACTGTTGTCCTTCGTTTTGCCTCTTTCATTGTTTTTTGACTATGTAACAGACTAAGAATAGAGATAAGATATGAATCAAACAAATACAAAAAGTTTTTTCCCTCAACACTATCTCTACACCAACTTTGCTGTTGCAAACGACAAAGCTCTGAACATCACATGTCCAGAAAGTAGCAGGTTAGTTGTATGTTCTGACTCCTTATCTGCCCTCCAGGCCTTGGAAGACCTTTTTCCTACTGCCCCATCATACAAGATATCCTTACCATTGAAACCTCTCCTTCAACGAAACCTAAAATTCTTGTTTTGGTTCCTGGGCATTCAGACATAATGAAAATGAATTAGGTTAGAAATCAGTGAAACACCCAGAGATGATACGATTCCCCTTTTAAGTAGTGTAGTATGACATGCATCTGGTCCAAAGTTCTGAGGAAAACAAAGCTCCACAAAGTAAAGCCACCTTGACTGCTGGGATGACAACATTTAGGGCAAACTGAACCAGTTTTGACCAGGCTTAGAATCGGACATTACAATCACCAAGGGTCATTTGATTGCACACGAACGCTTATATGCACAGTGTGTAATGAAGGGGTTGCAATAAAACATATTTTGACAACCTGCAAAATGTTCCATAAGCTTAGAAATGCCCATTCCCTACCCTTACTCTTCAAGATATACTCTCTAATAAAGAAGATTATGTCATAAAAGTTTTTGAATCGTAAATCTGTGAAGTTGTTTGACAAAATATGACATAATAGCCATCTGAACACTACAAACACGTAACTGAGAATTATATGTATGTCAGGGAGGGCTGTTGGTTGGTTGGCCATGGTTCTCACAGGATGAGAACCCAGACATGATGGATGTGGATGTTGGTGCATACATTCACATCCTTCTAAGTCTGTACAGGAAAAAGAAGATGTCAGAACATCGGCTGTTACCGCTCTGGTTCTTCGCCCTGCCTGGTTTGCCTGCGCTTGGCTCCTGTAAAAAGGCCTAGGCTTGTAACAGTCTTAAGCTCAGACATGCGGGATTTGCCAAATGCCAAGCAAAGGTTCACCGAATCCCGACTAGTGGGGGATGGATACTCGGTTATTCACCAAGCAACAATATTCGGCACTCTTGCTAGGCTAATTGTTGATTTTCTTGTCCACTTCAAAGCACATGATTATACGTGAAGTAGCCAAACTCAAAGCATCCCCACTTTTGGGAATCAACTGTACTGTACGTAAATCAACTGTAATCATCCATCAACAGTTATTATTTTGCTGCTTTTTTTTTTTTTTTTTTTTATATAATAAACGATTCCTAACTAGTATATAATGAAAGAACAACAGCGTTATTTCTATTGACCCAACTTTAGTCTTCAAGTTCCTCGATCAGAAGCCAAAAATTTATATTTCTTCGCTTCTCTTCCAAATTACAAAAATCAGAACGAGGTTTTTGATGCATGGAAACGGATCGAAAGTGAAATGGGGAAACAGTACTCTGTAACTGAGTTTGTAGCCACTTCACAAACCAATAGCCGCAACTTCACTGTTGGCCATCATGATTGGTAGTAAGTTGATGAATCGCTTGACACTTAGCGCTTATTTGCTGCATCTGCACAAACTGGGTGCTTGTACAAACCCTGCAATCGGCATTCTGAAAATGCAGCATGTCTTGAGCCACCTTTAGGGCAACCATGACTGATGGTTGTACTCCTATAAGCTGACCCAAGTACTGAGCAACCAAGGAATATCTCTACATGCTTAAACTGATTAATAATGAATTATGTGACTGCAGGACAAGAGGAGCTTGGGAGCATGTCACACTGCACTGCGAACTGCATGAATCTTCGAGAACATAGCTCATGAGATAAATAATACCTCAAGGAGGAACCTGGCCTACAATTCAGGAATTATTTAAAGAGCACAATAAAAAATTTTGTACATTTATTAAGTTTTTGAAAAAATTCACTAAGGTAGGAAAAAAGTAATAATAATAAAATAAATGAATAGATAAAATTTAAAAATAATT